ATAGGTCTTTTTAATTGTCCCTTTGCATCCAAAGGAAATAAAGATACTTTGGGCAAAGTTTGTTGGTGACTGAACATCTGCATTTCTGACCCGTGAACAATGCTGAAATCCACGATTATTTCTAAGTTCCAAGAGTTAGGTTACCTCTATTCCATGGCAGGATTAAGGCTTGCTGCCTAGCACAGTGCCTTGCTTTCTGGCTGCTTGTTTCTTAACACCTTGGGCACCCTTTGCTTCCACTTGCCATGGCATATTTAGCTGTTCCATAAAAGGGTTCTAACCAATGTTTTGGTCTAAATATCCAGTTGTTTAACAGTTTTCAATAGACCTACAGCTGTGCCTAGCTATTTTGAGAGGAAGTTAGGTTTTAAACAAACAATTCAGATCTCCCAGCTCTTGCAGTGGGCAGGTCCATTTGAAGAATGCCTCTCTGATGGCAGACAGACTGCACCCAATATTGTGCCAAGTCACTCTCCATTTGTAAATATTATAATGTGTTGTAGTTACAGATATAGTAAAAGAAAGAAGGTTTAAATTATACAGCTGAGAAACACCAAATGAAAATAAATGTAAAACAGCACATGATGTGTGTGCTGTAGGTCTCCAGTCTTGATATTAGATAGTAAAGATAAGAAACACAAGCTAAGGTCACTAGTTGAATGACCCTCATGTTTTCCTAAATGTCTATTTTTGCTTCACCTAAATCTGTGTAATCTGCTTCTCTTTCACTCATATTTTCTCCTGTGACTGTGTTTTAAAAGGAAGGCTTAAGCAGAAAACATGTGTAGACAGGTTATTTGACACATGTTTCATAATACTAGCTCTAAAGGACTAAAGATTGTGATTAGCAAAAGGCAATGGAAGAAAGTAAAGAGTATGCCCACATAAAGACAACTGCTGAGCAAAGGATGTGGTCTGTGTAGTTGTACATGACCTGCCTGGTGCTTATCTGGAACAGGGAGGAGTCCTTCAGTGTGACCAAAGAAAAATACTTGGTATGGATGAGGGAGGGGCAAGACCTTCTCTTGTTTGGCTAGAAAGTCAACTTGTCCTGCTGTGCTGTTCAGAGGTTTTCCATAAGAAGGAGGCAGTGGTACCAGAGACCAGAGCAGCTGCAGGTCCCAGGGAACTGCCATTACTGGAACTTGCCCTCACATGCAAAGTACAAGTTTAAAACAGGCATGTTCTCCCATTTCTGTAATGTGACTTATTAATTCAAGAATTTTTATGCATCTCTGCTGTTCTCAGGCAAGGATCTGACAGGAACTCTTGATCTAGCACTGGGGAAAGGCATGGAGGACATGAAGACATAAATCAGGTTTTTCTGAGCACAGTTTGAGTGTAAACTACAAAACACTGCTGCTGCTCAGGATACCTAAGCTGCAACTGAGCTTAGCTACTATTAATTTCCTTTGATGACATGTACTCTTTCTACTAAATACTCCTGCTTAAAGAGTTACAGATCAAAGGGTGAAGAAAAACCTTGTAACTCTACAATCTTTCTTTTTTTTTTCTGTTTGTTTTTGGGTTTTGCAATAGTGATATTTTTTCCCAAAGATCTTTAATGCTTGTATAAAAGGCACTTTCCAAGGCTTAACCGTGCCACTGACCTACGCTGGACACGTTGCAAATTGGACATTGTCTTCTGTATACTAGGCTGCAGATTTCTAACTCTTTGCAGTGTTGACGCCTGCTCTCACAAAGAGAAGGAAATGAAGCAGAAAGATCCCACTGCGACAATTAGTGGCTCACAGAGAAGTATTGAAACAAATAATAAGTGGCTGAAACAATTCAAGGGAGGGAAACACTAGCTTCCTACTCTACCACAATCTAATCTTCTTTCTCAGATTCTCTCTTTCCTTATGCGAATGGGGATTTTCACACACTTTCATTCCCACTGTTAGTGTGAAATGATTCTTTGTGACCAGCAAGCAGCAGTTTAGTCCTACAGCGCTCTTCTACCCTCTTGTCTGTTGTTAGTCTTATCATTTTATGCTGTACCCTTGTCTGAATTTTTGAAGTAGCACTAATGTCTTGTTCCCAAGCTGCTGTAACACAAAGAATTTTAATGAAACTAATTGAAATAGATTCCTCCTCTTTCACTGAGGCAGCTGGCCAAAGAACTGGCTCATGGGCAGGAAAGTCCTTCAGCTTTGGAAGTAAAAAATACCCCAGTACCCCTTGCAGCTCAAAGGGGAATCTTTGCAACTTGCTGGATGAGTGGGGCTGGTGGCTCTCCCTGCCCTGACTTGAGGAGATGAGGTGTGACTGAATCACCACACGCTGAAGAGATGATCAAGTGGGTGAGCTCATGTGGTTATGTGTAGATGTGGCACTCTGATGCATGGTTCAGTGGTGGGCTTGGCAGTGGTGGGTTTACAGCTGGGAGTCAATAATCTTAGAGGTATTTTCCAGCCTTGATGATTCTATGATTCCTGTCCTACACTCAGATCTTTCTTGGCTTGATGAGTTCATACCTCCCTCAAAAGCATTGTTTTCTGCAGCATCTTTTGCCAGCAAATTAAAGCTTTAAACAAGCATTTCCTTTATGAGTTACTGCAATTACATTTAATCTCCTAGTGAATGCTGCTTTCTTTCAAGCATTTATATTTTGCTCTCTATTTAAAAGAATGATGCCATTTCACATTCCCCTTGATATCCACTTTTTAGAAAAAAACAGCCAACAGTCTGAGTATATTGGGTGGTTTCATCAGATAGCCACGTTTGTTAAGTGAGACCATGAAAGATCTCAGATAACATTGCAGTGCACGGAGGGGACTCTAACTCTGCAGTTGTTCAGAGCAAATTGAGTGTCTGCTGCACAGATAAGGGGTGGGAAGGATTGCTCCTTGCCCCCTCAGCAGCAGGACAACTTCCTCAAGCACTGCTGGGAAAACATGATGCACGCTGTTCTGAGCAGTTCAGCAGCAGCAAGGGGAGGAGGAGATGCAGCAATGACAGACAGGACCCTGCACTAGCTCTTGGGAGGGAGCAATCACTCCAACAACTCAAATAACACGCAAGAGGGAAGTTAGGGAAATTAAAGGCAGCAAAAGAGACAGGGAGGGAAAAAAGTGACAAGTGTATATTCCTTGGCTTTTCAAAAGGCCTCCTTGAGGTCTCTGCTTTAATGTATCCAGGGTGGAGGCTAATGCTGTTCAGCTGCCCTTAATTGAGAACAAGATTAATGTATCCTGTTGCTGGCTGTGCCCAGCTGAACAACCTTTGGCACCTCCAGGGTGGAGGCTAATGCTGTTCAGCTGCCCTTAATTTAGAACAAGTTTTCCTCCCCCAGGGGTGATAAAACTTGGTAGCTAAGTTTCAGACTGGCACAGGTTAAGTAATCTTTCTCCAATATCAGGAGTTAGGAACTGTCTCAAGCAGAGCATTCCCATCATGTAAACTAAGTGCAGTAATTAATTCATTAATACCTTAGTACTTAGGTCTTTGCTCTTGAAAAGAGCTCCTGTCTGTAGTCCATCTGGCTGCAGTTGAGTCTCTCCCTGAAGCAAACAGTAGTCATGCAACTGGCAGAGTAGGTGAAATACAATGTGTACTCTGAGCAGAGGTTAGAACTAAAATACTGTAACGTGCCAGAGCTAGTCTTGCTCACATGCTACCTGGCTTAGAAATTAGTCACTTATTTATGTACTTCATTAGATCATAGTCAGAGCAGCACAGCATTTGCTTCCTGAAAGATTGTCTACCACTGCCAAACAGGCTTCAGTCTAGGTTCTGACGCTCAGGTGAAGTTCTACCTGATAACAAACCACCTCATAACTCAAGAGGCACTGGCAGAATTCTTTCTGGATTAAACCTGTTGTTTCCATACCCATTTTCTTCCTACAAATGAGACCTCTTGGAGGTAGCATAGCTACCCTTCTGTTAGATTATAATGCAGCTTTTCTTTGCATGTGAGAAATCATTACCATACAGCTGTGCACAGCTGTCTTTTTGCAACCACTATCTGCCACGGTGCTTACAAGGCATCTGAAACTGCTTGGGAGTGCTATGGCAATTGCCTGGTGAAGACACAGGAGAAACTAAGTTTTCTGCAGCAGATCTTTTGCTTAGAGCCTGTATCTATACATGAACTTGGGAATGGAGAAGGTTGCTTTTGTGCAATGAATAGCACAGTCAACACATCATCTTTTACTCTTTTTGTCTGGGTTCAAGTGTAATGAAGCCCAAAATGCTGGCAAGAAAAAAACACCTGTTTTGCTGTGCTTTAAAATAAATACATTCACCTGGCTGGGCCAGCTCCAGCATAATACTAATAATATTTTTGTGGGTTTTTAAAGCATTAAACTAAATGTTGCAATGAACTGTTGCCAGTGACTATCTGGTTCTAAGGTTTAGAGCTCATGCTGGACACTTTATTGCTCTTTTCAGTGAAAATGCCCTTAGGGATCTTAGGTCCAAGTACAGTTAATATAAAGCAGGAACAGAAACACAATTCCAGGCTTTTTCCTCAGACTCTAACTCAAAAGTTACCACGAGAAGATCCTCCTCACAGTTGCTTATCGGTGGTGTGGTTTTCACAGTGCCAGTGTATCACTGTTACTGGCTCCGTTTCAGACCTCAGACGTTTAAGCAAACACTGTCAGGAACACATATTACTTTCTAGTTGTCAGTATTTTTTCTGGAAGCAGATGGTCTTTCACCCAGCCAGTGAGTAGGGAGATGACAGTTGTCTCTCGCGTTTTCTTGTCGTGTTTGAGGTCAGCAGTGTGGGGTCCCTCAGTGTCCCCGTCTCAAGAGCGAAGGGCTGGAAGAACTGAAGTCGGCTGGAGTACAATGTGCCCATGCCTCTGCCCCTGCCGCGCGGCACCTGCCCGGCCGCTCCTGCAGAGGAGGGTGCGCTGTCAGCCTGGGGCAGCGCTGCTCTGCCCGGCGGCCTCCGGACGCCGCTCCCGCGGGGCACCTGCGCTCCGGGTCCGCGGGGGATGCGCGGGGCAGCCCTGCCGCTGGGTCCCTCGCATCCCATGCCATACTCCGCCTTACACCCCGCACGTCCGTGCAGCGGCGGCGCTGGACGGTGCGGTGCCCCTGCGCCTCCGCCTCGCAGTTCCGCGCTGGACATCGCCGCTGGAATCCCGGCCCGCCGGGGGAAGGCGGGAGGGAGGGAGCGGGCGCGGGCTGCGCGGCGCGGCCGGCAGGTGGCAGCAGCCGGCGCGCGGCTCCTGCGCGGGCGGCGGGCGGGAGGGAGCGAGGGGAGAGGCTGTGGCTGAGCCCCGGAGCCGCCGGGAACCTGCTCGGGTCCTGCGGGGCTCCGGCATTCCCGGCCGAGGGCGCACCGCCTCCCATGCGCCGGGGGCCGCGCGGCTCTCAGCCCTCTCGCCCCCGAGAGCGCCTCGTCGCGGGGCGCCGGACGGGACGGAGCGGTGAGGCAAGGCCCGGGAGGGTGGGCGCGCCAGGTGGGCGGCGGGCTCCGTGCCGGGGGCGCGGGGCGCGGGCAGCGCCCGGGGCGGCGGAGCCCGGACCTGGCGGAGCCCGAGGCCGCGCTGAGGGGCTGCTCCGCGGCGGGTGTGCGCTCGGAGCCGCGGCCCGCGGGCTCTCGCCCTGCCCCGGCTGCGGGAGCGCGTTCGGCTCGGCTCCGCTCCGCGGGATTCTTGCGCCGCGTGTTTTGGCTGTGTAAGTAGCCATTTCAAAGCTGCTCTCCTCGCACGCTCGGTTTCCAGGAGCTGCATCCAGAGGCAGCGTAAGGAGCTGCTTCGTTTTGCCTCGGTGTCCCACCAGAAGCCGTAGCTGCACGTAGCCTGAGCCGAATCCAGCAGTTTGTACGGGAGAGGGAAAGAAGCGGATAACTCGCCTCACGAAGAATGCGTGTTGCAATTGTTCTTGCTTGGGGCCAGATCTTTTGGTCTAACTAAGCACAGCGTGCAAAGCGTGAACCGCGCTTGGCGTTCGGTGTTTCCCTGCTCGCTTTCCTGCCTCTGGCTTTGTTACCATCTCTCCTTTAATTCTACCAACACTTGAGCTGTTTGTGCTCACTTGTCAGGCTAGAGGGGATGTGCTGTAGCAGACGAGAATCTTGAAATACCTTTTCTTCTCCACTGTGGCTTTACGTTTTTGCAAATGTCAGTGTGTCCATACCTGTGTGTTTCATAGCTCTTGACACACTTGACATTAATTCATCCAAATTATTTTCTTCCAGATTTTACATACATGAACAGTTTAGAGAGGCTGGCAGCAGTGAGTTCCACAGGTTGCTATGTTGTGTGGAAAAAACTACTTCCTTTTGCTTCTTTTAATTTTTGTGCCTGATACTGTATGGACCTTGTAAAATGAATTATGCTTGGTTTTTGCTCTCCATCTCTGTGCTATTTCAGAGCTGTGTTCTTTCATTATCTTCTACCTCAGCTATTCCTTATTTCAGGTTAAAGAATTCTTAGCTTTTTAGTCACCTTTCTTCTGTATCTCTTGCCAGTGTACTCTTTTTGGTATTGTTTTTCATTTTTTTCATAACTTTTTTTTTTAATCAAGGGGATCAGCAAAACTGAGCAATGTGCAAGATTTCAATACAACAGGGTTATATAAGGGCATGATGATGTCTGCTGGCAGAGATGGCAGATAATTTGGTGCATCAATATTGTGAATAGCCATCAAAAGTCATAGAAATATTTGTAACTCGATGTGTCACCTGTTGATAAATCAGTGTGATTTATTTTTTTAATCACTGTCTAAGGCACTAGTGGTTAGTAGCTCAATACAAGGGTATAAGGTTATGAATAAAATTGTTGCCTGATGAGCTCTTAATATTCTGTCAGTCTGCTGTGCATGTTCTTCCTGTCTTCTGTGGCAAGAGCAGGAACAGAAAATAGCCCAAATCTGTCTGTTTATTGCTGTTTGTGGAACTGCCAGTGCACTCTTAGAAAGTTGATCTACCAAGCTGCAGCTTGCCAACTTGGACTTCTTTCTGGTGTAAACTTAGTAGTAATCTACTGGTTGATGTGGTTTTCATCTATTCAGTATAATCAGGGGTTTAAAATGAAACTGATATTGCTGATATTCATTAGACACCTGCAATTCTTGATGCTTTCCTTTTCACCAGGGAACTCTGGGAGAATGGATTTAAGCAGACTAGGAGGAGAGACTACCTTTAACAAGAAAAGTGCTGCAAAGTGAGCATTTTTAGCCAATTTAGAAACATGAGGCAGCTGGTATTGATTGTCACAGGGAGTCCTTCAAAGTGAGTATAGGTAGGAAATATGGATTATTTATCACTATTGTGCCCTGAATATAACTTCTCAGGTTTTGTCTAAGAACAGGGCTCACCCCAGGTCTTGCTGATGATGATTTTAATCTGAAAAAGCTCCATTGTAATTAAGGAGCAATTTGATTCCTGACTAACTCTCAGAAACACTTAGAGGTGTTGTATGGTGCAAGATTCAGTCTTTCTGCATTTCATACAGCAGGTTCCTTCAGAGCCCCAGCAGATTTAATTGCAGAAAATTAATTAGGTTGCTCCCAGGTAGTGATGGGTTTTATGATCTCAGAACAAAGTCTTTGGTTATGCTGTAGAGCAAACTGAGTAACTGTGTTAGAAATGTGTATTAAATGAAGGCTGAAAACAAAACAAGAAAGCAGGATCATCTTGAAGACTCGTACTGGCCTTAGTGTGTGGTTCTGTGCAGACAAGACAGCAGAAAAGCTGGGTTTCCACACTCTAGTCTCAGTTCTCTGTGATGTGACATCAGGTGTGTGATATTCAGACTATTCACATGGCAGTTGTAGTAAAAACAGGTGAAGTGCTGGTCGGGCACTTATTGGTACTTGGGATTTTCTTTTTTACTTTGGAAATCAGATTTATCATCTGCAGTGGTGTGCAGTCATTGCAGACACTTCTGTGGGCATTAAATTCTGTACAAGAGAAGTAAGGTTAGGTGGTTAAGCACTTAAAAAACCCAAGGAGCTCCAAAGTCAACCATGCATAAACAATTTTAGCTGTGTCCCCTGTAGTGTTGTGTTATCATAACAAGCTTCAGGTTTGGAAGGTTGTTATTTTTTGCAAATAGGAAAAAAAGTAAAACAAATCTTACTGTGTCAAACCAACTTCTTAAGGAGTTTGGACCTTGATAGTAGCCCTTTTGCCACAAAGCTGATAGGGAAAGCATTTTGTAGCTTTGAACTGTGAAATGCTTCCAGTGGTAACAGTGCTGGCTGAAGAACAGATTCTGTGACAAGTCTTGTTCCCTTGAGTAGGCACGTATTATTTAGTTAGTAGTTACTACTACATATTAGTAGTTCAGTTATTAGTTCTTTTTTTTTTTCAGACAGCAGTTCTACCTGATCTAAATGCAGTTTGGACCACGACTTAGGTAATTGTAAAGCTAATCACCTTTTGGATATATGTGACCAATGAACATGGTTGCATTGTTAGCAGCATAAGTAACAGTGTTTTGCATTGCAGTAGCTTTGATTTTTTTCAGGATAGTTAGTACTTTACACTAGATAATCCTGTTCATGTGTATTAGATTTTTAGGAAGAATGCATTGTTTAGTACTTCATTTAGAAGATTAATTAGAAGGATGTTAAACAGATATAAAAAAAATTGATTAACAGAATCACCTGATGGACCTGATTTTGCCTCGTATCTTACTCTGTATAAAGGAAGCAGAGCTGAGACTGTGTGCTTTAGTGTTGCCTGATTATTTTTTGTTCATTTTTGTACTTTGTGTTAGTGACAATAACAGATTCAAATTCTGTAATTTAAACCAACTCAGTTTTCTCCTCCTGGAATGTTCTGTCCCACCCATTTTTCTCTTGGGAGCTTGAGTGTCATGCCACACATCAAATTTGTGTAACCCCTGCAGGGTTATGGCATTCCCAGAGATGGGTCAGCGTTCAGAATTCTGGTTGCTGTTAAACAGTCAGCACTTGTCAGCACCATCTACAGACATCTGTTACATATTTTTTAAATGGTGGTACCAAATGTTAAATGTGGGGCTTCTCCACAGGAGCTGTTCTGGCACTAGAAATGCAGATAGGATCTCAGTCCAGTCCTTGTGAGGGCAAGTAGCCCTGTGGGCTGCTGAGGTGATGGATGTGTGAGTTCCTGGAATGTGGGCTTCTGGTTTCAACACTCCATTGGCTGCTCTGTGCTCCTCATCCAGGCCATTGGCATTTTGCTTTATCTGAACTTGTTCCTCTATCTCTGAACTAGGTATGATAATTGCAGGATGTTGGTCAACTGTTAAATTTCCTGAAAATAGTTTGCATGCAAAGATACAAAAAAAAAAATTGCATAATAATATTTAATGTACATGAATGAACCAAATTATGTAGTATGTGCTTCATAGGTTTATTACTGTGTTTCTCTAAATCACAGCTTAAGGTCTTGCTTGTTGGCTATTTCACATCCATGCTTTGCTGCTCCTACTACTTGGCATCCCACTTCAGTATTTATTTTGGTCCTGGTTTTGGAATTTCCCTTCACAGGAAGATTCCAGGCTCCTTATATGGAAAAATGTATTTTAAAAAATTTACTTTTTCCATCAGTTCTGTAGATTTTTTCCTCAGTAAGTGCAAGAGCCACTATCTCTTATTTAAAGCTCTGGTCTAAGAGCCAGTAAAGTCAAGGAAAAGGTTATCAGCAACTTCAGTGTCTTTCAGATCAGGCCACTCCCACCTGATGTGCTCTTGTCATTGGAAAGCAGGACCACTGATTTCAGCCATGAGTTTCCAGTGTTTTCTTTGACACTACAAGAGTTAGTAACTTGTTCTATAACTTGACAGGTTATACTTGTTGTATAGTTGGTTCCAAGAACTGGAGACTTTGGAAGACTCTCTGGGTACTAGAAAAATATTTAACTTACAGGACTTGGTAGATAAAATTAATCCCTTTTCAGAGGAGCCACTTGTTCATAACTGTGATCCTCTATTTCCCTTCCTGTAAGACTGCTATAAACACATCAGTTATATTTAGCCATATGTGATTAAGAGTAGAGAGAAATATAGAAAACTACCATTTTTGAGTGTTATTTTTGTTGATTTAACTTCGCTTACTTGTGTTTTTTCCTAAACCCAAGCTTCTTAAAATACAAACATTAATAAAGGAATAGTCCCTTTTAGTAAATCCAAGAGATAACTGCTGCGACAACAGAAGTTCTAACTTCTGAACTTTCAACTTCTGAACTTTCTTTATCTTTGGCTGGGTTGTATTGACCTCTTCTGGTATCAAAATGAAGTTTAGCAGAGAAACCTGGTAGTGAGCAGACTCCCAGTTTGTCTCTGTTGATGAGCTAGCAGGGCTGATGTGACACCTTGGACCTGGCTTGCCCAAGAGGTGGGACAAGGTCTGTCCTTTGGGAGTGCATGGCTGGGTGAGATAAGAGAGCAGGGGACAGGGCTTCCCAAAGTGAAGTGTTTTGTTGGGAGCCTGAGGATGCTGTCTGTAACACTGATAGAAGTACTGTGGTTTCCTGCTTGTTCCCTTCTATGTGACTCATGATATCTGAGTTGGAATGTGTTTTCTTTGCTCTGGTTTTGGGAAAAGGATGGATAAAGAAGCCCTTTTAAAAAGCCCTTCTTCATGAAACCTGCTTCTTGGTGAAAAACATCTGCTGTGCTTGGCCTTGCAGGATCAGCACTTGGATATGTGAGCATGGATACTACTCCCCCAGGAGAAAAACGTCACTTGGATACTTGAATATTGTATGACTAAAATCTGTAATCCTGAGTCAGGCGG